GGAGAGGAGCCCCGTCATTTAGGTGTGGATTTCGGTAAACCTGTCGCGGGGATTTCTTAAAACCGGAATAATTATACACTATATGTCTCTCCATACACCATATACAACCATTGGATTCCCACTATCACTAAAATGTCCAATTATATATACATATAGTGGAGGCATATAATTTCACTATAACATTATCCATAATAGGTTGGTAATTTTCCTATTGCATGATTCATATAATATATATATATATATTATATTATAAATACTATTGCATAAACATATTATGTTATATTTATAAATGTATATATATTGACGGACTGAAACTTAGAATGCGCATTTGGAAGCGGCACTCCAAACGTGCAAAACTGAAAAAATGCATTTTACCAGCATTTCGGAACTTAGAATGCGTCCCCCCACCTAGGATGAAGCTATTCGGCAATCAACAGTTAGAATGCCTCCAAGGACATATGTTTTTTCCAGGCAGAAACACATATATATCCTAGACCCTCCAAGTCACCATAAAAAAGGTAGTTTACCACATAATTTTCATAGTTTTAGCAACTTTTCAGGGTATTTGGAGGTTCTGGGTATATGAATGTACCTGTTTGAGAATATCTCTTTTTTTTTGTGCATTTGACAGGTCTGGGTAAAGATTCCATGAAAAGTTTCAATGAACCAACAGGCAGCCCAAAGGCACTTTTACTCGCTTTCCCCATTCCATAACCTTGACAAAGTGAGTTTCCCGTACAAAAATTGCGATTTTGGACACATACCTGAGGTAGATAGGCTTCTGGGAAAAGAGGACACACCCAGCCACTAATGGTGTTGAACAGACAGTTAGAATGTGGCTTTAGTAGAGGATCCCCATCATTGATAAATACCTTTGTTTTATCTCCTAGATGGGCCACTAGCTGGAATGCCTGTAACTGTCACTGATTGGAAAAGATGTTTATATGCTTTTTTTAAACGGCAAAACTGGAAAATTGCATTTTACCAGCATTTCAGAACCTAGAATGCCCCCCCCCACCTAGGATGAAGCTATTCGGCAATCAACAGTTAGAATGCCTCCAAGGACATATGTTTTTTCCAGGCAGAAACACATATATATCCTAAACCCTCCAAGTCACCATAAAAAAGGTAGTTTACCACATAATTTTCATAGTTTTAGCAACTTTTCAGGGTATTTGGAGGTTCTGGGTATATGAATGTACCTGTTTGAGAATATCTCTTTTTTTTTTGTGCATTTTGCAGTCTGGGTACTTTTACTCGCTTTCCCCATTCGATAACCTTGACAAAAGTGAGTTTCGGGTACAAAAACTGCGATTTTGGACACATACCTGAGGTAGATAGGCTTCTGGGAAAGAGGACACACCCAGCCACTAATGGTGTTGAACAGCAGTTAGAATGTGGCTTTAGTAAAGGATCCCCATCATTGATAAATCCTTTGTTTTATCTCCTAGATGGGCCACTAGCTGGAATGCCTGTAACTGTCACTGATTGGAAAAGATGTTTATATATTTTTTTTAAAAAGCAAACTGGAAAATTGCATTTTCAGCATTTAGAACTAGTGTGCCCCCCCCACCTAGGATGAAGCTATTCGGCAATCAACAGTTAGAATGCCTCCAAGGACATATGTTTTTTTCCAGGCAGAAACACATATATATCCTAGACCCTCCAAGTCACCATAAAAAAGGTAGTTTACCACATAATTTTCATAGTTTTAGCAACTTTTCAGGGTATTTGGAGGTTCTGGGTATATGAATGTACCTGTTTGAGAATATCACATTATTTTTTGTGCATTTTGCAGGTCTGGGTAGAGATTCCATGAAAATTTTTCATTGAACCAACAGGCAGCCCAAAGGCACTTTTACTCGCTTTCCCCATTCGATAACCTTGACAAAAGTGAGCTTCGGGTACAAAAATTGCGATTTTGGACACATACCTGAGGTAGATAGGCTTCTGGGAAAAGAGGACACACCCAGCCGCTAATGGTGTTGAACAGACAGTTAGAATGCGACTTTAGTAAAGGATCCCCATCATTGATAAATACCTTTGTTTTATCTCCTAGATGGGCCGCTAGCTGGAATGCCTGTAACTGTCACTGATTGGAAACGATGTTTATATGTTTTTTTTAAACGGCAAAACTGGAAAATTGCATTTTACCAGCATTTCAGAACTTTGAATGCCTCCCCCCCACCTAGGATGAAGCTATTCGGCAATCAACAGTTAGAATGCCTTCAAGGGCTTGCTTTTTTCCAGGCAGAAACGCATATATATCCTAGACCCTCCAAGTCACCATAAAAAAGGTAGTTTACCATATAATTTTCATATTTTTAGCAATTTTTCAGGGTATTTGGAGGTTCTGGGTATATGAATGTACCTGTTTGAGAATATCACATTATTTTTTTGTGCACTTTGCAGGTCTGGGTACTTTTACTCGCTTTCCCCATTCGATAACCTTGGCAAAAGTGAGTTTCGGGTACAAAAATTGCGATTTTGGACACATACCTGAGGTAGATAGGCTTCTGGGAAAAGAGGACACACCCAGCCACTAATGGTGTTGAACAGGCAGTTAGAATGTGGCTTTAGTAAAGGATCCCCATCATTGATAAATACCTTTGTTTTATCTCCTAGATGGGCCGCTAGCTGGAATGCCTGTAACTGTCACTGGTTGGAAAAGATGTTTATAACTGTTTATATGTTGTTTTTTAACGGCAAAACTGGAAAATTGCATTTTACCAGCATTTCAGAACTTTGAATGCCTCCCCCCCACCTAGGATGAAGCTATTCGGCAATCAACAGTTAGAATGCCTCCAAGGGTATATTTTTTCGCAGGCAGAAACACATATATATCCTAGACCCTCCAAGTCACCATAAAAAAAGGTAGTTTACCACATAATTTTCATAGTTTTAGCAATTTTTTCAGGGTATTTGGAGGTTCTCGGTATATGAATGTACCTGTTTGAATATATATATATATACTTGGTTGTGCAGACAATTGTACCCCACAACCCATGCGTTCCCTCAGCTTTCCCTGGTGTTTTTCTGGAAACATACATATATACTTGGTATGTACAGTATATATATATATATATAGAAAGTTTTTTTTTTGAAAACATGATGCAAACCCACCAATCCATGCTAGAATATGCTAGTGCCAGACCATATACCTTGCACCCAATGAGGTTCCCTGAGGCCATGTTTTTTTTGACACGTATCTACATATACATTGATATGTTTTGGATATTTACAGTATATATACACATATCGACAGACTGAAAATTAGGATGCCACTTTCCTTCTTAAATTATTTCTACAGACAGTTAGAATGCTCCATGATGCTCCATCTGTCATTTCAGTATATCTTTATCTATCTAAATCTAAACATTTTTGGTCAGCATTCTAACTGTCTGTTCGCCATCCGAGGTTGCGCGGCATTCTAATTTCACAAAAAACGATATTTGGAAAGATGGTTCGGCATTCTAACTTTGAGTCCGGCAGTATAGAGGCCCCATCCCAACTTATGGGGTTGAGCTCACCATGGTTATATCATTTTTTCAACCTCGACTGCATCGCCAAGTAGGATGGTTTCCCCATGTTTCCCCCTGTGCTATGCCACGTCCCAGACCTCGTATTCGAGCATCGACGACTTGGCCAAAGTGCCAAAAGACGAGGATGAAGGCGCGGCAGCAAAGAATCCATGAGAAAACAAGAAAGGGTAGTTCCATAGTCATGGGGGTACCCCAAATAAAGAAATGGTTTTCCTAATGGAAAATCCTAGTGCAATAGATGATTATGGATCATTTTGGGAAGAACGCAAGTTTGAATATGCAGTAAACTAAGCTATAGGTATGAATAATCACCGTTTTAGAATGTTTTAGAGGTAAAGCATCAAACTAAACGGTTCATTTTCATGGTTTTGTTAAACTACCAGAGGATATATCGTTAGGGTATACTTTAAATGAATAGACAGTAACAGTTGAAATCGCGGATGTTTGAGGTTAAACATGGGTCCTTTGTGTATAGTCCTCACCTGCTTTGAGTTCCCCCAAACTAAATAATACATAGAAAAATGAACACACAGCAAACATACACCAGAATTGTGGAAACTATATATATGGGATTCATGTTGATGGGAATGTATTGTTTGCGGGTGTATGAGATATTATTTAATATATATATATACATACACGTTATAATCTATATACATAGCCACCACAAATAAGTGGGACTAAAACTAGGAACACATGGGTGTATAACTAAAACTAACTATACAAATAATTTTTGTCAGTTTAGAATCCATGAAATGTCCTTTTTTTGACGACGGATCAGCTCCTTTTTTAAGGGATGCCCTAAGAATGGTGACCAGCCGATGTTCACCTGGTGAAATTCCCAATGGGATTTCACCATAATCATCTCTGTTCGCACCAGGATTCCTCATTGCTTGGTGTTCAACCTGGTTTTTATTGAAGCCATCATCTAACCATCACTATTCACCACTATTCACCACTATTAACCATCATTTGGTCATCAATCCATTTTCATAGACACAAATAATGATTTGTATATTATATATATACACGTATATCTTGGGCTCTGCCTCGTGACACTAACAGTGACCACAATTCATACCACAAAAAAAAGCACAAAAAAAATCAGGTTGTAGTCCCCAATATGACTTTCATTTCCCCTTATTAAGGCTAGATGACCAGGCATATTCCCTGCAAGTTGGCTCCACGGTCGGCACATTTTCTTGCCATGCCCAGAAGTCCTTGCTGTCAAAATTCGACATTGGCATTTCCAATGGGATGCCTCATGCATCCAGCTTGTCAGCACCTTGTGGGTAGTGATGCTGCTGATTGCAAAGCAATATTGTTTAGGGTTTTGGATGCTGCCCATTGCAGCGATGATGGCAAAGCAATACTGTTTAGGGTTTCGGATGCTGCCCATTGCAGCGCTGATGGCACAGCAACACTGGTTAGGGTTTAGGATGCTGCCCACCACAATGC